GTTTCAAAATAGGTAAAATTAATAACATCTTTTTGAAATTATATTTATTTTGAAACTGTATAATTGTGCGGTTTTATATAGATTTTTAATTAATCGAATATAAAATGTAGCCATTTATGAGGTACATCATGATATTCATAGCATAGCGTAATTATTAAAGAATTTAATATATTGTAAAATGTAAAATATTTTAAAGAGTTGTGGGTAGCAAGATAGCTAGATATTTAGATTTATTATATTTTAATATTAAAATATGAAAATATGTTTAAAAATTGGTAGGTACCAATAACATCTATTTATAGTTTCGTAATAATATATTGATGCATATGCATCTATTCAAAATACTTTTTTTCCTGATTATGACCCAATTATTTTTATTTGTATATTCCATCGTTGTGTTAACGAATAATAAAAAGGAGAAATTATTAAATGAGCATAATAATAACATTTAAAATATTGAATTTTATTTACCAACAAAATATTGTATTATAGCAGTATCTTCTTTTGAGTTCGMTATTCAATCAACAATATTTTTTATTTTAATCCCTCTTTTCAATGGTTTTTTTTATTAGTTGCTTATTAATTACTATTAAATAACACTTTTATCAGAGATAAATACCGAGATAATTTGCTTCATTGTTAAAATTGTTTAAAGTTTGCCATTATTTATTTTATGAAAGAAATATTTTAATCTTGAAAAATAAATATWAAAATTAAAATCAAGCAAAATAATTGTTTGAAAATGAGTTTATATACATCTTCAATTTGCGTATAAAAAAGTAAATGTCATAACTTTCAACTAAGAATAAATAAATATTAATTTAACTATAATTTGTATATGAAAAAATCTGTATCATAAATCATGTAAAATGTACGTATTTTATTGAATTATGTAATTGATATTTTTTATGAACGATTTATGATTTAAATCTGTATTAATTAACACTGATTGTAAACATATTATCTATGTAATTATATGAGTATCATTTTTAGGAGATCAAATATGAGTGTTAACCAATATTTTTTCTTTTATTAACTTAACAAATATTACATAAAAGTACAAAATACCAAGTAACTCAACCTAACCTATAATTTAGTTGTTATTTGATTGATAATATTTTTATTATTTTACGTAGTTAATATTGTGTGGATATTTTGTTTAATACCTATTTATATTTTAAATCAGTGACAACATATGTATACATCTGTAGTTTGATTATGTATTGGTGCTTTGTTTAGYATGAATGTATAACAAGCCTTTAGTATATATTTAAAACACTTATATTCTAAGATACCGTCATTACTCATTAATCTTAGACTTCGGTTGTTTATATTAAAATTAAAAATTGAAAACTAACGTTACTGAAGGGAATTACAGGATTTTTGATTCATCGGTGAGACATAATAAAGAACTTACCGGAAACGCCRAGTTTGAACAAGTACCTATCTATCATTCTTGTATCGATGTTTTTGAAGGCAAATGTCGTTTACAGTTAAAGAACGCGAAGTAAAACAATAAAATTGACGAAAAGAAAAACGTAGTTAATCCATATCGTATACCGTTAGATATTTATCGAAATGTACGAATGGCGACCGTATCTGGTATACCTATATGTTCTATATAATAAATTAATAACCCTTTTTTTGTTGCCATAAAGTGAACGCAATATTTTGTTTTATACATTTTGAATATGACACATTTAGGTGTAATGCTTAGGCGTGGACGCGTGGTATATTGTGTACAATWGTTGGATACTATTATATAGGTCTATAATAAATCCATTAAACATAATTTAGGTATAACTATCATTTTTAATATTTTTAGAATATTAAGAATCTGAAAATTATTGGTTGCGTATCCATGGTTAGTTTTCCAATTTAGATTTCAYCATTCTTTCTTCAAACATTTTTACTCTATATAATAATAACCTTTGAATAATAACGTGTCAATAAATCATTCGTTTTACGTTTACAATGTGCATCAGCAAACCTATTTTTTCCCTTTAACATCGAGTTTATTAAAATTATARTTTTTGTAATTTTCAAATATTCTTAAAAACCATAATATTTTTTTAACTCTTGGGGGTCTTRAACTACTTAAATACATTTTTTACAGTAATTTATTTAGTGAATAATTTTTTTGAAAGTTGATGTAGAGGTACMTAATTCAAAATTTGAACGAGTAGTTCCTCAATTATTAAAATTTTCAAACTTAGGATTATATAGTCCTTAGTACTTATATCCTTCTAAAGCGAATAATTCTCATTTGAAAAAGAGAAGTTTGTATCTCCGCAGAAAAGGTTCCTTAAGTAGTACATTCATATCGAGAATTTGAAAATACGGCCTAAAAGGCTAAAAGTATATTTAAAATTCCAGAAATCATATTTAAAACTTTAAAAGTATCACTGGGTTATTGTAGAAGAAAATATTGGTCTCATTTTACTTACCACAATAAATAATAATTGTCTTGTTGGTATATATGATTGTATAATATAGGTGCAGCACGCGTATTATAGCCTGCAACTATCAGTAGCCGTGTAATTGACGCGACACGACGTCGTAATGCCGGAACAGAGTAACGATTACCGAGTGGTGGTTTTCGGAGCGGGCGGCGTGGGAAAGAGTTCGCTGGTGCTCCGGTTCGTCAAGGGCACATTCCGCGAATCGTACATACCGACCATCGAGGACACGTACCGACAGGTGATCAGCTGCAACAAGAACATCTGCACGCTGCAGATCACCGACACGACCGGGTCGCATCAGTTCCCCGCCATGCAGCGSTTGTCCATGTCTAAGGGTCAYGCGTTCATACTGGTGTACTCGTGCACTTCCAGACAGTCTCTCGAGGAACTCCGACCTATATGGCAGGTTTGTACACACATTACGGTATTGAATTTGGTTATTGGTTACGTTTTATGGATGCCGCGATCTGTGGTTATATGATGGTGACAAGAATGTCCGCTGCAGGGGAGGGAGCTAATATAAWTAGACCGACTGACCACCCCTCTTCTCCATCCGAGATTTCGTTAACTCTATACGCATAATTAAATAGCATATATTTTATACATATGACAATGAACTTTAGCACCTAAATAAATAGCATTTTTATTAGATAACAGATTAAAATATTATTGCAACTAACATAAATAAACAACTAGGTAATTAAAATAACACACATTAGATACCTATAACGTTCGCATAATTAAATTTTAACATCCAAATAATTTAGTTAGGTCATTGTCTAAAGAGTTACTTTAGTGAAGTCCATAGGCGCAACTAGAGGCCAAACACTGGGGGTGCTAAAATTATGTGGATGAAACAGACTCGCGGGGGCTACGCCCCCACACCCCAAGTTCCTACTTCAATTTTATAATTACTATAAACAATCTTAAATGCATTATAAAAACATAAGCACACTAGCTAATATTTACCTCATAAATACATTAGGTATATTACCTATATTATTATTAAGGTGATTCAAATAATGACCTAGTATAAACAAATAAATAATATTTATTTTTTTAATAACTGATGTCAAAATAATTAYRSAATTTACATTTTTAGCAGTCACTTACATGAGGCACAATCATCTCAAAGGTTAGGTAATAATACTATGTTTACATAATATATAATATACTATTTTACACTAATAATATTTTTCTTTTATTAGTGGAATTGGAATATATTTCCAATATTTCTGAAGAAGTAATTTTATTAACAACATCTCTTTCAATATTTAAACAACCTTACGTAAAACAAAAAAAACTTTTTCATATAATTTTTCCATTTTTAATGTTTTTGATCTGGGGGTGTTAAATTAAAGGCTGGGGATGCTGAAGCACCCCCAAGCACCCCCCCTAGTTGCGCCTATGGAGAAGTTCTTCAAATATCAGTCATATCTTCTTATCTGACAGTTCAAAATTAAGTGTTGCATCGACTTGTGAATGAACATGAACACTTGCGCCTTAATCGCACTCCAGGCGCTCTCTAAATTTCCATTTTTATACAAGACTGTTATATAGCTTCCTTGTCACACGGACGTATGTCTGACCTAGATTTTTGCATGGGAATTGGAGTGTACAGGTTAACTATGTAAATGCCCTCGGGTTTCTTTTCATCCATTTGTTCTGCCACGTGTCTAGGATAATCTCCTTCGACTCGGAGTTTTTTTTTTTTAAACGACTTCCGTCATTTAGGCCTCAAACTTACCATTCTATCTTCGTGCATCTGGTTTTACGATTCCACTGGAATCATTCCAGTATTGGCAATACACGAAAATGAAATAGCACCTGAGACTCGAAGCATGTACATTATATGACTTACTGCTCGATGTTGACATGTTGGCCTTGGCATATAATTTAATTAATAAAATCAAAAAGTGAAAAAAGCTATTTTAGTAGGTATATAATATACATATAGTTGGATAGAATGCCAAAATACAATAATACATATAGATACTATCATTTGGTTATTGGATTTTAATCTTGCCCCGAGTGGAATTTTATTCTGAATTTCTAAGAGTACTCTTGGGCCATGGTTATGGTTGTGGTCGTGTAGGCTACATATATTATAATATAATATATTACGATATACAATACAGTTGCGTATTGCAGGAATGTGCGTATTCGTAGATGTTAAGGAGATAAATAAAATAATATTTAGATAGATAGTACCTATAATATTCCCTCTACTGTCTAATCTAGGGAATTTCAAGCTGTGGTACGCGTACCCCTTGGTGGTACTCAAAATTTGTTAAGGGGTACGAGTCAGGTTACGAGTCAGGTCAACTAAATTTGTTATAGATATAGGTATATTAGTACCTATAGTGAAGGAGTACCCAAAAAAATGTATTGGTAAAAAGGGGTACAGTGTTCATAAAAGTTTGAGAATTCCTGGTTTAATCTATCACAAGTTTAGGCTTAAAGATATATTTTTTATAGTTAATATATTTATATGTTATTTTGTGTAATTGTATGTATGTTTATTGTAAGAAATAATAATAACTATATGAATATCGAAATATCATTATAGCTGTCCTGTTTTATATTATAAGTTTTAATCATTATTTTGTCACTTACTACTTACATAACTGTTATATTATAAAAAACAGTAGGTGGGTTTTAGGTATTTTAGGTGGGTACGTTATTAATAAAACAAAAATTATAGTATACTAGCTGATCCCCGTGCGCTTCGTTGTTGTCTGTTAGAAATACCGATTCTATATTATTCAACATTTTTATTTAATTCGTCGTTTATACCCAACTAGTCATGATCAAAACTCCCCGTGACAAATTCCCGTGAATTTACCCTATCTTAATCTCCATAAACGATTTTTAACAGTCATTTAAAATACAAGACTAAAAGTATTTTCAATCATAATATTTTATCGTATTTTTAGCTTTGCAAAGGTGATACAATTTTTAAAATTGATACCTAATAACAAATTGCTAATTTCTTATTCATCCATACTGAATTGTATAACCAATAATAACCATATAATAAACAAAAATATATTTAATATTATTATTATTATTATATTTATTATTTCTATAAAAAATCTCAAGTAAAATGTAAGGGCCACTTATAGCTAGATAAAATATAGCCCATAGATTTGTGCATTGTGTAGCTTTCTAATGGTAAAAAAATTTTAAAATCAGTTAAATAGTTTCAGTGCTTAAACAGATTAAACGAACATTTTTTCTTCTTTATATCATATAACTCTTTTAACCCGTCTAAAGGGTTCAATTTTGAAGTCATTTTATATATAGATGTATAATGTTTGTTCTTTTCTTGGTTTCTTAGTTCTGATCATGTATGTTGATTATACATGTAAAATGTTTATAAGATAGTCATGTCGCTAGGTTATATTTACCATGCCCTTAGGATAAAAATTAAAACTCTAGTAGCAATTTGGTGAACTTAAAATTGATACGGTTTGTCGGTTTGCTGTCTTTTGAATAAATAGTTAATAGGAGAAATATTGAAATATTATAAATATTTGATTAATATTAAATATTAAAATAATATATACGTATGTATAATATCAAAATCCTATTTTGCTCTTGGTGGTTTAAAAAATGTAAAAAAAAAACATTAATGAGTTTGAATAATAATAACGATAATTATTAATTACACACAAATAAAATTTAATAACAATCATCAATGTACAATAGGTTACCTACCTAGTTATCAAAACAAATCACGATAAAATAAATTAATTCAATAGTTTCTTTATGGTAGGTATTTAAAATTATATTCATTGTTATTCCTTTATTTAAGTAACTGCAGGTAATAATATAAATTCCGGATTAATTTTTATTTTTACTAATGATCTTAAATTAACATCAGTATAGCAGCGACCATTATTTATTATAACAATTAAAATTTTTCACTAATAAGATTGAAATTTCTTAAGTCWTATTATTTAAATTAAATCGTACAATTTAGATTTTTCTTAATAATATTAAAATGTTATTGGTATTTGGTGGTGTCTGCGTTCGGTCCGATGCGAGTGTTTCGTATAGGCCTCTCGGGTGTTGGMAATAATGTTATGACGGAGTTTTTTTTTTTTTGAAGTGAAACAGATATTWTATTTTTTTTAAAGGCGTTAAATWATTATCATGCATCTCAGGCTCGACATATTATTTCAATTTGCATTTGACATACATATAGTATTTACATTTATCCTGTTTAATACACTGAAGAAGTGAAGAACTTACCGAAATGATTGATTACTATATTGTTCATACACATGAAATATGAGATATCATACCTATCATCAATAAAATTCATGACGGTGACGTATTATTTTAGATTCTCTGCAGAGAAAATAATGTATTGATTTTATAATGTTGTTTTTAAAATGTATTTTTATTTTTTAAGACACTTTATCAAGTAGAAAGATTGCCCCGATCGTAAACTTTAAGGGAGGTTACTGGTAGAAAATTGGATCTACTACTCTACTAGGTACTTATGGAAGGTAAAAAATGAAAATCTTCAGTAGGTACGTTTGAAAAACGAGGGAAAATAGCTAACCACTCTGCTGTAGATTTAGCAATAGGTGTCGCATATACTTTGTCATTCAGTAAGTCGCTGTATGTGTATGTAGTTAGGTATGTGTTTTTTAATTGTATAAAAAAAAAATGATTCTGAGTGAAGATGCTTTGTCAGGCTATAGAAAAATTAATATATTATTTTAAAAATTATTGAAAAAAGATTGCTCAAGAGTACCTAAGTCACTATAATACCTAATTACCTATAGATTTTGTAGGTACCTATATACAATATACATTATATATTATATTAATATTATAAATTATAATTTAGAACATATTAGTTAAACTATTTTATTCATAATATATACCTATAGATTATCTATATCTTATCCTTATCACTATAAAATAGTCATATATTAATTTATTATTATAGGTACCTATATGATTAAATACATATTTTTCTATTATTTGAATTACTATTAATATTTATTATTTTTTTTTTTTTTTTTTTGGTATATAATTTTTTTATTATACAATCTGTAAATATAATATTTTACAATACGTATAAGTTCTGTAAGGATATAAATATTATAAGAATAAATCTATAAATATAAAAATTAAAATGGTATCTTTTTAAATACATTATATAGCTTTTGAGCAATGTTATCTTCGATCAGAAACGTTCTACGTTTTATTCATGATAATTTATCATTGAATTAAAATTTACAGTGACTCGATAATGAGATACAGTCGACACCTATAACTTTTCAGTAGAGTGATTACCTACTCAACGGTTTGCTGTAGTTTAATAAATCCTGCAGACTTTTAATGATCTTATCAATATTCTTTGTTCAAAACTTCTRAAAGTACCTATACATTTTCCAGCACTCGGTGACTTCGTAGTTAATACCTGTAAGTAGTCATTCAATCTCAAAAGATACAATAATACTAATTAGTATTCTATTGTTAATTTGGTATACTTTGCTGTCTTTACTATTCAAAAGGTATTCAGTAAAATACATTTACGGAATTGTGTATTTGATTCTTTAATGATAGGCACTCAATACCTATTGGGTAGTTTTTAAATTATTTTCAATTTAAAACACAATCATCGGTTATATTATTACAGACTGTAATTTACAGTTTATAATATTCAGAAAGCATGTATGCAATAAATTAGCCAACTGGATGTGTCTTAAAATTTAAAATCTATGATAAATCGCTGTATCTGTCATCCAAATAGAAMGATTCTGTGCAGTATGCTGACTGCAGGTTAAAGTTTTCAGAAAAACAGGGAAGAATTTTATTCAAGACCAAGAGCATTTCTTAAAGTTTTCAACGTTGTTTCGTTGACAAGTGGGTGGGAAAACGAAACGACCTACATTCAGCATTTTCTGGTTCTAGTTTATTTTATTATTAGGTAGGTACTCATTAGAAATATAGTACGTGAAGAATTTAAGGACGACACAAAAATTGCCAAACTCCCCTCTCCCCCCCCAAAAAAAAAAAATAAATAAAAATAATCTAAGCATAAATCATTATGTATACTGTTTAATAATTTATGTTTCTGTCGCGGATATCTAGCTACCTATACTTTTAATATTGAAGTGTTCGACGGATTCAATAACAACAGCTATGTTAAGGTAGGCTAGCTCACTTTAACAATAATATACGATATATTGATATATACATAAGTACTTTAGGTAGGTATATAGTATATTATATTTAACTTCAACTTTACTGAGTAGTCCTAGTCCACATGTGCCTCCTACAATATGTACCATGGCCAATATAAATATATATATTTTGAGAATTAATATTTACCACACTACGGTTTCATATAATATCGACAATATCGTTGCACTAGGTAGGTACCTAATTTAAATGTCAGCCCGTAGTTGTTGTCTGGGTAACTATAACACGCAGACACATTTATATAATTATACATTGCACATTGCACATAAACGTTGTGCTATCGTTTGGCCCTCATCGTGTAAATATAAGTAAATGTAGGTAACATATATATATAAGGCTACGAGCCAGACTTTAATATTGTGATGGTCGAAATCTAGACAGATCGACGCGGTACATTGTACGCCCTGACCCATCAATTATTGAATTCCAGCATTTTTTCTAAAGAATACTGCAGACTATAAATAATATGATATATAGATAGGAACTAAAAAATGGTGCATGTTTATCGATTGTATTAAATATGGGAAGAGGGCTGAAGGGTTTTCGGTTGCTTTTATTTTTCTTCCCCACAGGAAAACCACACTGCCGGCAACTGTTTGTACAATTCGTTATTCGAGTTACATGGGCATGGTAATGCATGTGTACCAGTGTACCTACGTACATACATTATTATATGGGTAGGAAAACTTCACTGTGTGGTTGATGTTTATTTGCGCGAAAGGCTTCGGACAATAATAAATTCACATATTATTCACTAAGGATAGTTTACGTTTAAAATAGGTTATTCCTTTAATAGGTACCTACATATAGGTGGATATGGCTATATCGTATAAGGTTTTTTCATCTGATACAAATATAGTTTTATAATTCTTTAATACTAGACATTTATTGATTTATATATTAATTTTTTTCTAATGWATCTTTAATATCTATTTAATAAACGCTATTATAACAATTTATGTGGAATCTTGTACCTATTAACCTATTACACATTTTCAAGCTTTTTGACTGATTGAAATTGATATATTCATACTTATAAAAAAAAAGTAAAATTTAAATGTCTATAAATAGCGCAAAAATAAAATGTTATCATGTATAAATATAGATTAAATAAGGATTTCAACATTTAAAGTTTCTACGGTTATTACTTATTCAACCCATCTAAGTACTAACTAGATTTACTTTCTTACCAGAAAAAAAGCTGAAGTAGAAAACCAAATTATTATTACTGCCCCAAGAGGTGATGACAGAGACAAAAAAAAACTTCACATAATTGTAAATCAATACATTTATCAGTCAGAGTTTAAAAAGGGAAATATAAATTAAAAAATTATTATCATCCTATCTCTACTATTATGTTATGGTTAGTTTATTATAAACTTCAAACCAAGTTTGAATCATTATTTGTGATTAAAGCAATAAATTGTTGACAGGTAATAAAAGAGACCAAAGGTGCATCAGAGCTTCCGTCAATACCAATCATGTTGGTGGGCAACAAGTGTGATGAAAATGATACTCGAGAAGTTTCAGCTGAAGAAGGTGATGCTGAGGCTCGACGGTGGGGCTGTCATTTCATGGAGACGTCAGCTAAGACCAACCACAATGTTAAGGAGCTGTTTCAGGAGCTTCTTAATCTGGAGAAAAATAGGAACATATCGCTGCAGCCCGAAAAAAAGTCCATGCGTGGCCGTAAAATACGGGAGAAATGCGCGCTCATGTAGTAGTATATTATGTACTACCAAAACACTATCATCGGACATGGGGATATAGTTTTACATTTGTGTTGTTTATATTTTATAAAATAATTTTCATTCTGTCAAGTCACAATTCATTGAGAATTATTATAAAATGTCACAGTAAAATTTAAATTAAAACTTTTTTAGTGAGACTGATAAGTGCTGACAACACCAATTTATTTAGATTAGTACTTTAGAATGATGTTACAACACAACTATACCATGGACTTTTTTGGAGGTGCAAATATAAAAATGAATTTCAGTTGTATATGACATAGACATATACACCTAGCAAAGATATAGTGCATAGGATTTACTTTGTACATATTATTATCCATAATAATTACTATATCAGTCAGACAGGGAATATGGTAAATACTTCTGTGAAATCAGTTTTCACAATACCATAGAATAAACATTTTTTGAGTTATTATGTATGCAGTATTATGTGTTTGATTTGGGCAGTGATTATTTGAGAGAGACAAAAATCCAACTTTAGATTTTATACATTACATCATTTTACGAGTAATGTTCAGCGTACAGAATATAAACTATACAGAGTGATTTTTTTTAACATGAATCACTCATTATTTCAAAAAGTATCAATGTTTTTGAAAATATTTTTTTACAAAGTTTCATGTTGTTAAAAAAACGTTTTTATTAAAAAATTATGTTTTTAAATATTTTTTTTAAGTTTTTCACTTTTTTGAATGATACCCTAGAGTTTTAATTTCATATTCCAAAGCAGAATATTTTTCTAAGTATTTTGATACGTAAAAATCGAATTTTGGACGAGTAGTTACTCAAGTCTTAGAGTTAGTCTTAGTCTAGTTAAGTAGTTTATGAGTTATAACTGTTATAAGTATTTAAAGTTTAGATTGGCAGAGTGGAGTGGTACAGGGTCACCCCGCAAAATGTTTGTCCACTACTCCACTTCTCTAAAATTTAAATACTTATAACTCATAAACTACTCGTCCAAAATTCGATTTTTACGTATCAAAATACTTAGAAAAATTATTCTGCTATGGAATATGAAATTAAAACTCTAGGTTGTCATTCAAAAAAGTAAAAAACTTAAAAAATTATAAGGATAAAAAATATTTAAAAATATAATTTTTTAATAAAAACGTTGTTTTTTAAACAACATGACACTTTGTAAAAAAATATTTTCAAAAACATTGATACTTTTTGTAATAATGAGTGGTYCATGATAAAAGAATCACCCTGTATATATATATTTTTTTTTATCATCACTAAATTTAAATTATTGTAATGAATGTTATATACAGTTGTAGTGTACCAAATTTTCCTGTATATAACACTCATAAATACTATAAAAACATTAACAATTTTTATTTTTTAATATTTCTAGTCAAGTAATATTKCTTTTCTTTATAAAGACAAGAATTATATATTGATGTTGCACCGTGTACATAATATTTTAATAAACAATGTAGTTACCTAGTCAACAATATTATAATTATATTTTTAAATACATGACATTTGGTAACCTTTGTTTTTTTAGATAAATATTTTAACATGTTATTATTGTTTACAGCTTTATATTATGATTCATTTGTTATTCTAGTTGTATAAGTGTATTGTCGATCAATTTTAAAAATTGGAAGTGATTTTTGGAAATCATTCTAATAAAAACATTTAGTTCCTGAAAATAATTTTCTCTTTATCATTGTTAATTTTACGCTCAMACAATTTTATTGTTTTTGTATTTTCACTTATATAATATTATTATAGTTTGTAGATTTCATTAATTTCAATGAAATAATTATCATTTGTATAATTGAATCATTTTTTAATTTTTACATATTATTATTAAATTATTAATTTAATAGGCTAATAATTAGCTGAAATATTCAACTTACGGATGGGAACATAATTATTTGATATTTATTTATAATTACTAATTAGGTATTGCATACTTTTTTGGTATTTTATAGAATATAAAAAAAAAATTATTGTAATGTTAGCCTAATGCTCAATAAGAATTTATAAAAGAAAAAGTTAACAATTTTTTTTTTTTCAGTTTGTATTGTCATATAACAAAATATTATTGATTATTACTTAAACATTTATATGGGAGCTTTAAATTGTTGTAAAACGTTCAGTAAATAAGTAATATTGAATGTTTAAGTGCTCACACGTGAAATCATTCATGGCAAATCCAAAAACTAACACAATAACATAAATTCACTAAAAGAGGAATAGTACATCAAGTAATTTAATATGTTTAACTATTATACTTAATATTTGTCAACCTTTTAACTTTTTATAATTTTTATTGAACTTAATTCACAATTCATTTTTTTTTTTTTAGAAAACATATCACAAAATATAACTTCCTATTTAATATAGTCATATAAAAAGTTAAAGTATYAAAATAAATACTTCAAAACGCTGGTATATTATTAGAGTCTTCATGCTTTTTTTCTTTATTATTCATCCATAGCTTGTAAACGATGGCGTGTAAGATTTACAATATCGTAACAAGCTTCTGCAGTTAACAAATCTGATACCTAAACAACAAAGGAAGCTTACATTCATTACTACTGTAGTTATAATTCAGATTTTTTWGAAATACTAAGTCAAATAAAATTGAATAATGTTTAATATGTATTTTACTAAGATAAATGTATAAACATAAGTATATAATATTCTTGTTTAATTGAAATGGAAGTAATACAAGCCAAGATTAACTTGTAATAACATTGCTTTTGATGTTAAATGTGTACTTAAATCAGAATTTTAAGACTTTGCAATTGTTATAATGAAAATTGAAAGATCTAAGTAATGCAAATCAAAATGTAACTGTTAATGCAAAGTTCTAAAATTGTTCTTATCATATTTTTTTCCTAAGCTTATTTTCCATTTTACATATTATCCATATATGGTAAGTTTGATCCTAAATTGCTATTCTTATCCTTATAATTCTAAAAAATTATTTCACTTAATAAATATAATTAAAAGAAAAAACATATATGAAATACAGCGTWAAATATAATTATTATAATTTTCCCATTACAACATGGTAATTGATTAAAATAGCTGTTAAAATTCAATTGATACAARCAAGTAATATTATTGACAAAAGAATAGAATTATGATGTTATGTTAATTTGATTTAGTAATTGGAATTGGATTTTAGGTTTACGCTTATAATTTAAGATCAGAAATTAGATAAGTAAAAATTGTGATATTGAGAATCCTTAATAAATTATTAAAGTTATTATAATCATATGTATACATTTTTCTTTGATTTCATTTTGTATGGTTATTATTGATAAAGTAAAACACAATAAAATAGGTAAGTCAAAAGARCAAATTATTTTAAATCAAAACTAAATGTGTTATTTAGATTTTTTTAAATTAATCACATTTTCATTTTTAGATATTGTGCTATAATCTACATTTAGTTATTCTGTAAACATGATTTTACAATATTTTAAGCAATTTATATTTTACTTATGGATATTTTCTCCTGAGTGTATTATAGATTTTAAGCTTCTATTATGATTTTTACAACTATTTAATTATTGAGATGTTTAAATTCTAATTAATTATGTCTTACAGTAATACATTTGAAAATAAAAAAATAAAATTCTATTGTAGTAATATTTTTATGACAGACATAGTTTATTAATTATTATAGTGTTGTAAGACTTAAATTAATAATTAATCTAATATTTAATTTTATTATACTTTATTTTTTAATAAAATACATATTTTATGCAATATATTTTTCATTAATTCAATTTTGGGAAGAAAATGTGTCCAGATTAAGAAATATTATTATTTATAATTTAGCATTATATATTAACAATAACAATTTTCTATTCATGTTTTACTTGTAATACTTACAGTATACTTGTTTGATTCTTCTAATGCATACTGTATACTTGTATCATATATAAGCATTTTATAATAAGATAACGCTAATACTACATTACGTACTCTTGAGATTGTTTGTCTATCACCAATATCAACTACCTATAAAAATAATAAYAGTCATTTTTATTTTGAATGATATACAAAAATTAAATTAATAATTAAATATACTTGTTGAAGATCAACTTCAAATCCAACAGGATCTTTATTGTCGTTAGTTGGTTCGATCCAAATGTAACCATTATTACCAAGTATGACACTAACTCCAGCTGATAAGTTATGAAAATGATTTTTACTACGTTTTATAAGATTAGATTGTACTTTTACTAATACTCCTTGTCCAAGCTATTAAAACAAAATTTAGGTTAAATGTCTGTTTCAGTAAATTAAGCAATTGTACAATTTCWTACCTTGCCGTACTTTAAACTTCGCATGTGTAATGATAAAGAACCATCAGCAAATACTGAATGAACTTCAGCACTGATTAAGTCACCCTCGCTTAAGTAACTTCTCATTGATTGTTCATCTTCCATACCTCTTCTTCTCTATTTAAAAGAGTATAAATATAATTGTATACAAAGTATACAATTACATGGTAGTATTATTTTTAAATTTTAACATTAACTCACTAATTCTCCTCCTGGTAGTTGAATAGATGTTAGTAGTAGCACAGCATCCAGTCTAGCATTTATATCTACTTTCCAACGTTTATGCACCAATTCTGTTACACGAGCAATCACTACATCACCAATCTCTCCATTATATCGACACCGTAATGGACTAACCGTGACTAGTTTATTAATATTTTGTTCTACTCCTGCAACAGTCGCCTTCAATGATCCTGCTGATACATAAGTTCCATGACCTCTAAATTGATAATAGTTTAAAAAAGTTAAGATAATAGATCAGAGGTAGCATAAACAAATTATTTTGTTGGTATGCAAGTATAGTTATGATTTGGTGGTAAGCAGTAAGCACTTCCATATTTATAAGTAACTATTAATTTCCTTAATAAAAATAATAACTTACTATGTACTTAGTAACTATTATTTTTTTATGTATAAAACAAAAACATAGTATTAGTTATTTTCATTTGATATTGCAATAGTGGGGTAGGTAGTATTAACTRTGTTATAACTCGTACAGACTATAAYGCGAGAAGCGTGTTCTAAAATTCTTTAAATATAAATAATTTACCAGAAAAATAATTTATGCGTATTGGTGTACTAATGATTACCTCATAAATCCTGCTTGATCTCTAATTTTTTCACCAGGAGTAAAAATAATCGGCGGATTGGATGAAGGTTTCAGAACGGCATGCCGGGTCTTTTTTGACGCTAAGCTTATGGAAATATTCATGATGGATGCTGTGTATTTTTTCACAGCCGATGTAAAATAAAGTAAAATAACTAAATATGATACCTAACAAACAATAATCATATTTTGTTTTTAAATGTTTGTAGTATACAAAAATTCAAATTCCTAATATTATGATGTTTGATTGTGATTTGAAGCATATTGTACCATGCTGAGCTGCATGGTGTTAAACTTACTGTTAGCGATGGTGGTGATAAGGATAACACTCGGATTTATGGAAAAAAAAACGCGCGATTATTTTAACAAGCAATTGTCTGAAGCAATGGATGAAAAAAAAACCAGGGAAGTTACTTTTTCTGTTTTGTAATGGCACAGAAC